ACAAAAAAGACAAAAAAAAATATATATATATATATCCAAAAAATCTTTGATATTCCTCCCTTCAAAAGGTGCAGACTAATTCTCCTAAGTGTAGACTATACTTAGGGACTTGCTTCTAATAAACAGAATGTGAAAGAGTGACAATACTTGAGTCCAAGATAAGGACATAAAAAACTTGTGACTTCTTGCTCATCCTCTTTTAGATCACTCATTCTGGGGAAAACCAACCCCCATGTTGTGAGGATATTCATGTAGCACTGAAAAGAGGCCCATGTAGCAGGGAACTGAGACCTCCTGCCAACAGCCATATGAGTGGTCCATCTTTCAAACAGATCCTTCAGCCCTAGCCAAGCCTTGAGATGACGCAGATCAGCATCTTGACTTCAATCTTGTCCTTGAGTCATAACCACCAACCCAAGTCCCTCCCAAATACCTGATTCATAAAAACTATGAGAAAATAAATGCTCATTATGGCAAGCCACTAAGTTTTGGGTTAATCTGTAACACAGCGATATATGCGATAAATACAACATTCCTAAACCTTTAGGCTCAAAAGTCAAGAAAGGTCTCCTCTTTTTTCTGATCGCTTGTCCAGGTTTTATTCAATATTTTGTCCAGAAAAACTGTTACTGTATTAGGTCTAGCTAATGTGTCTTGGTGGGCAATTCTAGAAGTAAAATCAGGATTCGACGATCCCAGAGTGAGAGGATAAAAACTGGCAAAGTAAGGTAATAGTTAAAAGGAATGAACCAAAACATGAAAACAAACTCTTAGTAGTTTTACTCTTTATAGTTAAAATGTGAAGCATCACCAACATCAACCTGTGTTTACTTACATCCACCAAGAAATCGAAGACCCGGGCATGCAGGGCCTTGGAGAGTGCGTCCCTGGTGTAACAGGCCTGCTCCACGTTGAGGGTCACGTGGATGGACTCGGACTTGCCTCCCCACTTGCTATCCATCTGCCGGCTCGTTAGCTTTTCTTTCAACCGGTCCTGGTTTATCCCCAGCAGATATGCAGGAAAAGCCAGAACTGCAGAACATAAAAGAAAACATGACTATCTTTCAGAATTGTAACAACGCATCTCACAAACACATGGAGGCACTTGTGTGCATGTGTGCACATGCAAGTCACCATCATTAGCCCTCAAGAACTTACACTCTAGTGAAGGGTGCTTATCAGCAATCCCACACACATCCATCTATTTTGTTTTTCCCAATTGTTGTATTATATGAGTCAATTCCTATGATGACTGAGACTTCCAATAATATAAATCAGTGATCCAAGAAGGATAGCAAACCAATCCCTCCTACTGAGATCACAGTTAAATGCCTAAAATGGACATCTCTCTAAGCTTGAGCCCGGAAGGAACTCAATTAAGAAACATTTCTTTGGCTCCAAATATTGTTTTCTTCCTTTTTGGTACAATGTTTTCATAGCATCATTTCCAAAGAGTTTGAAGCACCTGATATCATCAAACTAATTGCAATTAATAACATATTTATTGAGTGCTTACCATGTGATTCCCAGTGGTGTTTACAGTGGTTACTGAAGAGAGGAGACAGCATGCAAAATATTTAAGAAATCTTGAAGAAAATCTAGGTGAGGCAAAGATAGTTTACCAAATAAAGAATCTTTCTTAAAGCTGAGTTTGTGACACAGACAGACATAGTTCTGGAAGAAAGATTTTAGAATAGGAAGATATCACAACTTGCTGGGGTAATAAAGAAAAATGTGGGGTTTGGATGAGATTTGGGCTGGGCCTAAAAGGATGAATAGGATTTGAACAGATCCAGACAGGGAAATGGAACATGCAAAGGTGAGGAGGCAGGAATGCAGGAGACATGGTCGGGACATGGCTACAGTGTATAGACCAGTATTGGTTACAGATGAAAGTTAAGGTCAAGTTGAAAAGTCAGGATGAATTCCAATGGTGGGGTTCCTTGTATGGCATGAGATGTCTGTGCTGGGGACAAAAGGGGGCCTGGATGGCTTCTAAAGAGGGGTGTTATACGAAGATTCCTCTGGGGGTGGCATGTGGAGTGAAATGGGATTGGTGTGATTCACATTGCATCGCAGCACACCCATGCCACCTTAATGTCATGTAGTATGGTATTGAACAGTTTTTGCATAGAAAAACTGAGACTCCCATTGTGCAGCAACTTTTTTCAGGCCAGGAAACTTACTGAGAGGAGAGATAGTAATATAAATTGAATTTTCTTGATTTCTGGGCAAAACACTTAATATAGATATATGACACCATTTTTATGAATGAAAGAATGCTCAAGTTTTCTCGATATGAAAGGAAGATTTTTACGTATGTAAATGAAAATTTTGAACTTGATTACGGGTCTTCTTTTTCTGCATAAACCTTTACCAAAATTCTCTGATAAAAAGATTTTGTTAAAGACCTTATGATAATGCTCAAAAATCACAAGCCTCCCAGTAAAGGATAATCTGTTTGAATTTCACAGATGGTGTTAGAATGTAACGGGCTGACATTTCTCAGTATATACCTTCCAATGAGATTAAGTCAGTGAATGCATTTTGAAAAAGCATAAAGCCAGAACAAGGTATTTATCATCTATATGAGTGCTTCACAAAAATGCTTTGACCAATAGAGGCTTCCTCTTACAAAGAACATGTGAACAAATCAAATGCATTGATTTGCCAACGGCCACTTCTGTTAGTTCATTTTTAATGTTAACACGTCTAAGAATCTGGATGTGTCTTCCACTGAACTAAAACTTCCTTTGCACAGAGTAAGAACAGAGGATGTCTGTAAATTAGATTGGACACATATAGGGTTGCTGTGTGAGTCAAGGGACATACGCTCAAGTATCCAACACGTGAGTGGTCTTCACTCAGCAGACGCTATTGTGTTGGTTATTATCACAAGTATCAGGGAGGGCATATCTCACTTGACGCAGTTGACATTATCATCAGTGATCTATGGTACATTCACCAGGGCCCTTCTCATTGTTCATGGGAACCACATAGTGAATAGTTTTATAAAACAAATAATTAGCCCCAATTTGTCTGTTTTGTAAAGAGTAGCTTTTCCCAAGCCCCTAACCATGCTAAAATGGGGACATGGTTAAACTATTTGTTAAAATTGTTTATGCCATTGTTTTTATGACTTAGCTAAAACAATAAGGGCTAAGATGAGAATCCCTGAAACAAAACAGAGAGAATGGACTGGCAAAGACACACACTATATACATTTCTATCTCTTGTGCCTCTTCTGTAGAAGAGGACATAACTCAAGGACTGCAGGCACTCAGGAAACAAGGCATGGAATTTGGCCAAGAATCAGAGCCACAAGCTTAGCTAAGAAGAACTACAGAGGAAATATAGTACTTGGTTTGAAAAAAAATCCATGCCATGTTTTTCAAGTGCAAGCTTATATGGCCTCATATTTTCTTCAGTGGCTGCCCTGGTGCTGAAATTATAGGGCTGCTTCTATTGACTGCCTCCCGGCTGTGAATTTCCATGAGGCTGTGTGAGCGTGTGGCTGGATGGGGTTTTTCATTTCAGTAGTATTCATTCAGTTTTGTAACAGCGGAAGATCATAAGCCATCTTAAAGTCCAGCAACAGACTGGTTCAAAAATCAAAGTGTAGCCAACCAATGGAATGCCATGCAGCTATAAAACAGATGACCCGCCCTATGAATAGATATAGAACACCCTCCAAGATAAATGTAAAGTGAAAAAGCAGCGGTAGGACATTGTGTCATAAGCTCCCATTTTTGCATAAAAGTGGGAAAGATGAACGGATGTGTGTAGTCGTTCTGGAGCAAATATTCCTTAAAGGGAACACAAGAGACTAGGAATCTTGGTTACCTCTAGACAGGAGAACAAGTTGACTGGCAAAGTGGCGGATGGAAGAACTTTCACCATATACCTACTTGAACCATGTTCATGTATTGCCAAATGAACAAACCCCCAAATCAATGGAAGAAAATCATTAGAAGGGGGACACATTTCTTAGTTGGACCTCTTTTGGCTTTAAGCCAGAGCCTTTTCTGCTCTCCAGCCCTCCACCACCTTGAGTCGGGGAATTTCACAGACAGTTGCCAATCCTGGGCTTTACCCATTTGGCTGAGGAGGCTACTCACTCTGGACATCAATGTGCAATGAAACACTTCCTGGCTCAGACTTCCAGGGGAATGCTTGCTGTTTTAGTGCCATGATTTTGTTCTCAAGCAAAAAGAGGCAGTGAAGGATTTTACTATCCAAGAAGGCAAAAGAAACTCAGTCTCCTTCCACAGAAACTACTGTCAAGTGTTAGTGATCCTACTCGATACATCTGTGCACTTGATAAATATCAAGGACAATGTACATAAAGCCTAGAAACATAGTTATGGTGACAATGATGATGAGGTCATGTTTCTAGACTTTATGAACACCCTGCATATTTATTGTCTTTCACCCCTTCCCTGGAAAACATAATTCATCTTTCTCTTTATCAGATAGACATCGGCAGTCAGCAGAACTTCCCCCTTTTACCAGAAAAGAAAACAAAAACATAAAAAAGAAACCTTATTTGGAATGGAAATATCCCCACTGCATTGTCAGCAATGAGTGGGATACTATTTATTACTAAACATCTAAATTTATCATCCTTGAAGAATGCTGAGAAAGGAAGAAATGCCTTCCTGGGTGGTTAAAGAATGTGTGGGTTCTGAGAACAGCCTGGAAAGCCGTCAATGCCTAAGAGGCTGAAATCACGCATCACAGTATCTGTGATAGATTGTGGGCACACATAACCAATAATGGCTCTCTGCAGGAGGGACCCTCATTTCTTCTCAAAGAGTATAAATGACTATTCAGGTCTTGAGGCTCCAACAATACAGGTGTTCATGAAAGGCAATCATCAGAAAGGTCAACACAATAGTCAATGTCCATTTTTTCCTGTGTTCAGAAATCCAGTCTAATCTAACCCGTGTGGCAAACTGTCAACCTCTGAGCTTCCCATATTTACATATATTCTATTGCTTGACCTTCAGCATCTTTAGGTGAATACAGACACCAAAAACCAGTCACAGAAGAGGTTTGCATTAGTAGACTAATTTTCTGCATTATTAAGCCATTACTCTAATCTTCATTAAAGATCATCTTTAGGTGAATACAGACACCAAAAACCAGTCACAGAAGACGTTTGCATTAGTAGACTAATTTTCTGCATTATTAAGCCATTACTCTAATCTTCATTAAAGATAAAACTTTATCTTTAAACCTAGATGTGAGTTTCTGCCAGATTCCCCAAGGTTAATGATAAATTGAAACAATGTCATTAATCTGTGGTATGGGACATGGAGATGCTGGTGGTGAGGAGAGGGGCAGGTGCACAGAAGAGGTCTAATCTCTCATAAGGCCATTTGTCCTGCCACAGCAGGACACGGAAGACTTCACATCTCTTCCCGATACACCCCATTTGAGATCTAAGCAAAGGAAAGTGGTGGGTTACTTCTGATTCAGAACTAACCAGCCATTTCCCCTCATTCAACCACCACATGCCAGAGTTACGCACACTCTTCACTCTCCACTGCTGCGTAGTTGCCGACTTCTTTGAAGCTGATGTTTCCTAGGTGGAGAACTCCCGCCACTATCTGCAACACCAGCGTTTGCTCTTCTGCGAAGATCCCGATCACATTCATTGCATGCTGGGAGAGGAAAGAGAAATTATCCAGACAAGCCGGCCATCAGCTTTATAAGCCAGTAATAAAGAAGCCAAAGCATAGATTGGATTGTGCAGTTATGTGCGGTTTAGCTTGAGATGGCAGCTGGAAGTCCCCGAACAATGTGATCACTGGCCAATGCATACATTCTTCTCAAGTCTCAAAGTTGTGCTGGAAGGGCAGTTCTATATTTAAATTTAGCATGTTATCCTCCAAAAACAAGGGCCAGAGAGCTCCGGGAGGAAAGATACTCAGAGAAGCTGTAGCCACATACAGGGCTGCAAGCCTGCCCTTGTCTCTTGGTGTGTTCTTGTTGCCAACTCTCTCCCTCTAATGGCACTGCTCTGCTCTTTCCAGCTATTGCAAGTAGACTCAGGACATCTTTCCCTTCACTGGGAGGGATGAGAATTGATTGTACTTGTAAAAGGATCTTGATTAAAAATCAACAGGAAATTGAATAAAGGCATTATTAAAAAGGCTAGTTGTGGAGGTCCATTAAATTCATTAAAAATAGCTGAAATGTTTGCCTTAGCTCTCGGAATCCTAAGAGAATTACACTGTAGGACCAGCATGCAGGCCCTTTATCTGCACTTGTTCTCCCAGCTCCTTTGATGCCATGTGGCCTCTTGATACCATCTTATTGTCCAGGCACCAGGACACAGTCTGTCTGAACTCCTGTCCCTTTCAAGTACAAATGTCAGCTCCACTCAAACTGAATCTCCCTGGCTCATTCAGGGTTTCCCACTCAGTTCTGAATGGGCGGAGGGACAGGACCGGCTTGTAGCTGACTCAAAGCACAGTGGTAATGCAGTCCTTTGCGGCTAAATGGGGTTTACCCCTAGAAAGTTCTAGATTGACTAATTTAAATTGTTTTCCCCAGGATGCTACCCCTCAATAATCTACCTAGTTTCACAACTTGTATTGCAACATACATACAATGTGGACCTCATGGAGTAGAAGGACCGTATTCGGATCTGTACAATACACAGGTAGAGAGAAAGTCCTCAAAAACAGAAAAGAAATGAAGAGGGTGGAGAAAAGACTAAAGGTGTTCCAAAATTTCTAAACCTAATTAAGATCGTAACTGTGCTGTTTGCTTAGCTGTCCTAAGGAAACAGCTCATCAACTGTGTAGGCCGTCAGCACACAGGAATGCTAAATGTATTTCCCACAATAGTTTTTGCCTGATTGTCAGGGCTTCTGTAGGGAGACAATGATGAATTCAGTTTGTTGACCCATCTTGAATCCTTAAGTGGTCCTCAGGCAATTGGGAATATGGCTATTTAAGGGTGCTGAAACATGTGCTTTAGGATATGGAGTGCTTACAGCAGAACGAGGTGGAAATTCCATGCTGCTCTGTTAACCTTGGCCACCCTTTCTAGCACAGGCAATGCCCGTTCTGGAGAGCACATCCTGCCTGGCCCTGAGCCAGCACTTACCAGAGTTTCCTGAAACTCCCGCCTGTCGTCAATGTCATCAACCTTGTAAGACCCGGAGAGGCTCAGGTAGTAATAGTAGTCCATGCTGGTGATGCCAAGGCTATGCTTCTGCTCTGCGGAGGCACCTTCAATGAGCTGGAGCAAGAGAAGGTGGGATGTGCCATGATGTGGACCACAAAGCACCCAGTCACCTCTCAGCTCCTGCCACCACCATCCCTGAGCTCAGGCCATGAGAACCTTCTACCCCTGCTTCCTGAAATTATGGGTGCTCCTAGTCTACAATATATGAAGGGGCTTCCAAATATCTGCTCAACTTGTAGTAGCCCCAAATCATCTCTGCAGTTTCTGATTCTTAACTCTGACAAGAACTGCAAGAGCTGAGGATTTTCCCTTGTCCAACAGAGGGAACTTTACTCCTACACTTGTGATCCCTTAGAAGAGGGAAAGCAAAACCGATTATAATCACTTTGTTCCTGCCAAGCTTGCTTATGGCTTCTTAAAGTGGAGCTGGCTCCTCCATGCTTCTCAGTACAGAATGCATAGTAAAAACAGCTGTATGCCCGCTCTTGCCACATTGATTGTCTCTTGGCTTTTTGCTCCAGCTCTGAGGTCTGGCTTAGGTCTGGGCAAGATCCTTTCTAGGGCTCCAGCCAGTGTTGCACTAGAAAATGTTTGACCATCAACTCTTGGGAGAAACAAAATTGATCTGTAGTGTTTGCCAGTATTCATGGTGTAAATACTCCCACCACAACTGACTTCAAATGAGCAAAGGAATGTCACAGAAGGAAGCGGTGGGAAGGGATGCGCACAGCGTGGGCCAGCTCCAGCACCACGACTCTGACCCAATGACATTTAGAGAAACAGAGGCAGCTGCTATCCATGCTTCTCCATCATCAAGTTCCTCGTGTCATCTTGGCTCCCCTCCCTGCAACATCTCAGTAGCGGCCTCATCTCCATTTCTGAGTTCAAGTTCGAGTTCGAGTTCAAGGTCAAGTTCAAGTTCAAGGTCACCCTATGACATCAGGTGCCCTTCATTTTCTTCCCTGTGTCCTCAAAATCTTTTTGTACACCTCCTTTTTGGTCTTCTCCCCTCTCCCAGCACATGGCCCCTCTCTCCCACATCTTCAAACCTCCCTTTCTCTAACAGGCTTCATCTATAAACACACTGCTCATTCCCTTCCCTAGAAGCTTTTCCCGGACTGAACTTCGAGCCACAGTATCGACTTCCCCACCACGACTCAACCACCTGCATTTGGTTTCTCCCCTCCCCACTCTGATGAAATTCCTCTACTTTCCAGTGGCAAAGTACTTTTACCTTTCTTGGTCCCCAGACCTGGGGCCCGTCCCTGAGCATTTGACCCCATTGCTCATCCCCCTGAGGCTTCCCCTGGCTTTGGTGACACTGCAGGACCCTGAGTTTCCCGCTTCTCCTCTAACCACTTCCCTGTCAGCATCACTGGCTCCTCAGTGTCTCCTCGTCCTACACGTGGAAACCACCCCCAAGTCCTGTACGGGCATTATTTTTCCATCCACACTCACTCCTACTGGAGCCTCACCTATTTCACAGCTTCAACCACTACTTTCATGTCAGAATCTTGAACCCCTGAGCTCACCAGCTCCCAGCCTCTACCTTAGTGGTTTCTGACCTTCAGGAAGAGGACTCCTGGAGGGTGGTGGGGATTGGATTTACTGGGAAGGGTCCTGACATCCATTCTGTACTTCTGTCTAGTGCTCAACAAATAAGGCACTATGTGTGTGCCTGTGTGTGATAAACACAGTTACTTTCCATTTGTGTGTGTATGTTGCTTTGATTAATATAATTAAAAGCATTACTGAATTCACAGCTCATTTATGTATTTTTTCAACCAACAGAGATACCAATAAAAAGAATTAACCTGCCATCATTTAAGATGTCCGTGTAATCAAAAGCATGAATGTGAGCTATCACTGTTTAACTTCCTTCTAATCCAGTGACCTTCAAACTAAAAACAAAACAAGTCACCAGGCCTTTCTTCAAAGAAAATCTGATGTGGATCCCTAATGTATAAAATATTAATAAGAAAACCCAAGCATAAAACACTTGTTTATGGCATCATCATATTTTTAAAAAGTACTTAAAAACATTTTTTAAAATAGTTGAATTTGGGGCCGGCCCGGTGGCGCACTGCTACAGTGTGCCGCTTGGGAAGCGTGGCGGCGCTCCCGCCGAGGGTTCGGATCCCACATACAGACCGGTTCCCGCTCACTGGCTGAGCGAGGTGTGGGAGCAACACTGAGGGTTGCGACCCCGTTGCCGGTCCTGGCCCGGTACGGGCGCGACACTGAGGGTTGCGATCCGTTGCCGGACACGAAAAAAGACAAAAAGGAAAAAAAAAAAAGTTGAATTTGATGATTGCTAAGTCTGGAGTCCAGCTGAAAAGCACCCAGCACACTGCTCTAGCCCCAAACTTTCCATGGCTTCTGAGGGTTGAAGTGGAAACTTTTTGACTTGGTATTCAAGATCTCAAGCCTATTTCAAATCTTCTCCCCAACAGTCCACCTTTGGGGGGCATCTGCCCCTGTAAACTGGCTGAGGCCTGGCTCACTGACTGGCTTTCCCTCTCACCTTTGTCCTGGTCACCTTGTCCCTGATCAGCCCCCGCCGCTCTCTATCAGGGGCTCTGCCACCTTAATGGCTCCCCTTGCCACCCCAGCCAAATCTCCCCATGTAAATTTCTATTGGGCAAAGAACCAAACACTCCTGCTTTTGTTTTACAATTATGTCAACACTTTCCTGATTATTTTATTTTGGGGGAATTTTTGTCTTATCATTCCAATTAGAACTTATTCCCCTTGAGGGTAGAGACGGTCTCACAGGGCTGCGCACTGACTCACACATACTATTGTAACAATCCTCCTTGGCTTGTCAGCTAGACTGTCCAAAGCTGCAGGCGGAGAGAAAAGAATTTTTTTTTTTAATGTGGAGAAAGGAATAGGAAGTAGGAAAGAAAAATCATAAAGGAAAACCTGGTAAAATATGTGAAAACTCCGCTCTCCGGGGTTCCTCATCACCACCCTAGATTTTTCCAGAAGGAAGTTGGAGATCTTTCCACCATCTGGTTCCCCACCTGGACTGAACTGGATTTCAAAGTATTTTCCCTGTAAGAAAGTTAGTGATTTCCTTCAATGGTTGGTGAAAAAAAAAAAAAAAACCATGATGTTCCAAAGAATACTGTATATAATTCAAGGAAATTCACCATGATGTTCCAAATAGGCTTTGAATACTGTATATAATTCAAGGAAATTCATTAAAAGACACATTCTGAATTATTCTTAATTCTACCATGATGTTCCAAAGAATACTGTATATAATTCAAGGAAATTCATTAAAAGACACATTCTGAATTATTCTTAATTCTGGTCTAGACTTCCTCACCTTTTTCCTATCAGACAATAACTGTGCTTTTGTCCAATCACACAATTCTGTAGAGTGAGAAAGAATCCATCATCTAGCCTGACTAAATAAGGATATGCTATATTCCTCGCCATTTTCCCCTAGGAGGTGCTTGCTTGCTGCTCAGCCGGAATGTGTAAAGAATAGGGCAGATTAAAATGCCAAGGTCACGGTTGTGATCCCCAGTACTGGCCAGCCGTCAAAAATAAAAAGAGAAAAAAGAATAAGGCAGAAGAATCACATGGTACCCTTAATCTGATGAGTGAACTCTGTCAGCTACTTCCAGAGGAAGCAAATTTTCCCTCTGGCAGACTTCAATTCATGGCTTTGGGCAAAAGTTGTCAGTCCTTTTTACCCCGGGAGCATCTAAAATGCTTATCTAAAATAAAAACACTTTATTAGAAATAAACTTCTTTCCAGCTACTTGTGGGTCTGGGGGTTTTTGTTACTGTTGTTGGTATTAATATTCCCAATTATTATTTAATTTCTGCTCATCGGAACAAAGGAGAATAAAAGCCTGGAATTTAGTTGGAAAAGGTATCCAGAATGTTAATGGTATTTTTTTTCTCACTAGAACTTAGTTTCTCTCCAGTCCTCTGAAACTTAAGCACCCTCAGGGGCCAGGAGGGTAAATTTAAATTAAGGAAAAGCATCAGGGAGTGGTGCGGCCTAAGTCCAAACTGAAGAGCGTGCCCGGCCTAACTCGTTCATACTTAATATTACAAAACCCTGCAGGCTGACTGAATGTGCGCATCTCAGGGCTGAACTCCGCTGGGCCTCAAGTCTACAACTAGAGACATGAACTCACTGAGTACAAGAAAAGTACTTTGCGTGCTCTGCAAATGTGTGAGTATTTGCTGCGTTCTTCTTAAGTTGCTTCCAGATTCCAGGTGTCAGAAAGACAACAAAAGAAGGCCACCCTCTAATTGTCTATTTGTCTTAATCTGATGACCCCTCCTCCTGAGAAAACCAAAAACAAACACCCAGAAGCACCAGACGTAGAGAACCACCAACCACGTCAGTGCATCCTGAGTGTCAGTGCATCCTGAGAAAAGCTCTCTGGACACGATCCCTCTGTGCTTCCTGTGGGGGCCACCCTTCACCACCTCTCTTTCGGCATGTTACAGAAGGAACAATTCAGTGCTGTCCCCTCACTCCCTATCAATTGGGGGAAAATGAAACCAAACAGGTCAACAAACCCAGGAATGGCAGGTGTAGTAAATGGCAAATTCCCAAGTCCTTCTAGCAGTAATTCTCAATTTTGGCTGTTAGAAACACCTGCCTGTTAGAAACACCTG